TTTTAGATTTTGCTATTTCTAATTTAATTCTTTTTGAAACTCAAGGTGCTACATCTACTGACCTTAACACTTAAGAAATTTTAATTCCACGGTAAAATCTCACTCACTACGATGAACGGTTCGAGTCTTAGTTCGAAAAAATTTCTGGGGTGTTACAGAAAGTTGAAAGATCATCTAAGGGAATGGATTTACGGCTTAGGACAAGTCATCATGACGGTAACTCTACCTAGCAGACTGGAGATCCCAAGAGCTAGGTTCAAGGAGAAAAACAAAGTTGTGACTGACGGTTCGACATTGTCAACCAACTCAATCAATTCTCATGATGAAGACAATGCTCAGGAACAAAGATACAACAAGGCTTGTTAATGAGTTAATAAAGCTTCAAGTTTTTAATGATTTGCTAAGTTTAGCAGATTTGACCAAATAGTGTATCTACGTGATAGCACGGTTAGAAATCACTTATGTGAGTGTAAAGTGTAAGCCGTTTCAAAGAGGATGATTGTCAAAAGCCCATCTCTCTATACACTCATGAAACCAGGAGGTGTTCATGGCTAAAACGGACACAATCGTAAGAACCATAAACGGTAAAGGGTTGATAGTGTGACTTATGGTTGTCTAGGTATACACCAAAGATTGACAGTTCAAAGATATCAAATCTACCGATTGATCAAGTATATCCGACATATGTTCACTACGGAAAATTCAAAGGGAAACTTACTTATCCTGATACAATTAATTCTTGTTTGTAAAGTACACATACTTGTCCGTTTCTTTGTCTTGGAATCATTCCCCATTCATGCAGGGGATTGTTGGGTTTTAAAATGTGTGAATGGAAAATGAAGAGTTGCGACTTTTATGAAGAATTGTAACTTTTATGAAGAGTTGTGACTTTTCTGAAGAGTTGTGACTTTTATAAAAAGTTGTGACTTTTATGAAAGGTTGTGACCTTTCCGAAAGATTGTGACTTTTTCAAAGGGTTGTGACCTTTCCGATAAGGCACAATAAGAATCTTTTCACACTACTCGTTGTTTTTTATAAATTGAGGGATTTCCTCTCATTTTAAGTGAACCAACTTTCTGGACTTCTACTACTACTAAATCTAGTATTCTAAGTGTACTTTACTGCCGTTGAGTGGATCGCTGACACCGTGGTTTTAGGTACCGATACACCGGTAAGTAAGATCGTTCTACCTTGGGAGGATATATTTCTTTAACCTCGGGTACTTGAGGGGAATAATTTCTTTAAGGGGACACTGCACATTCAGTGGGCTCGATTTTCTTCTTTGAGAAAAATATTTTGTATATTGTTTCTAATTTGTTTCTGATTCAATTTTCTCTACTGGTTTTAATTTTCTAATTTTGAAAATACTCTTTACACTTTGTTGTTTCTTATCAAGTTCTTCAAAGTTTTTATTCCAAGTATCATTTATAGGAATACAGGATGAACAACAAAAATCACAATGTGTCAACAGGTTAGTTTGCTACCATAATTATTTACGTTTAATATCCTCGATAAGGTGTTTTTTTTTAATTTGTATTAGTACTTAGTTCATTAACTAAATATTTCATGTCTAATAGTAAATTACAGGGATGCTGACTTCTGAGTTTTACAATGAAGAGTAGATCGATACATAATGTGAAGCAATACTTAAAAGGGATATATCTTTTAGAAATGTATTTGTTCTGTATAGATATAACTTAGAGATTTGTTCTGTATAGATATTACTTAATTAGAGAACAAATTCTATGCTTTAACTAACTAATATAGTGCAATAGGTTGTTTTTCCCTTAATTATAGATCGGGTCTGAATTTAAGTATGAATTTTTTTTGATAAGGAGCACTTCCCTTCAAATGTGGCCCTACATAACGCAAATTCAAATTAATTTGACTTTAATATGAATTCCGAACAGCATGAGGAAAAAAAAACTATGTGATTTGTACTAAAAGAGATTTACGTGTATTATTAGTTTTTTTTTTGAAGTGTATGCACCTGTAGGCTGCGACTGTTTCCTTGTATTATTAGCTGTCTTTTCACCACTAACATGCCTAATCTTCGCTCAAATTGTGATCCCTTCATCCTTATTTCGAGATTTCGAGTTTGAGTTTTGAATATAAAAAAATAAATCTTGTTAAAAATCTGATTTCTCTTTAAATATGTTTTACGCAATGTAAAATTTAATTTTAATTAGACCCCTAATATAAATATTGAATACCACGATGAAAAACAAAAAACTACAGTAAAACCTCTATAAATTAATATAAGTGGGACCATGAAATTTTATTATTTTATAAAGATATTATTTAATCGATAAATTAATATTTATTAATTTAAAGAATGATTTGAGATGTAATGAAGGTTAATTTTGATTATATCAAAATCATTGTATCTTACTAATTTATGTATCATAATTATTGATTTCACATAAAAAATTATTGAATTGTCACTATCGTGTAAACAAAAGAGCATGGATGACAAGTGTGCTTTTTGATTGAATATATTCGTTGGTTTGACCACCAAATGTATGGTAGAGGAGTTTTGACTATGGTAGATAATTGTCCAACCCATAATAGAAATATTGAAGGACTACAAAATGTTGAATTGTTTTTCTTGCCACCCAACATGACATTCAAATTTCAACCTTGTGATGCCGTAATAATAAGAGCTTCAAAGATGTATTATCGTAGGATATTAGAAGGCTATGAAGTGGGACAAACTGATCCAGCAAAGATTAATTTTTTGGATGCTATCAATTTTGCCATCCCTACTAGGACAACAAATGTTCAGCAAGAGACAATAGCAAATTGTTTTCGACACTGTAAAGTTCGTTCAGAGGATGCAATCTCAGAGAATTTGAATAAACTCATTTGTGAAAAACGTCATTCATGAACTTGAGGTCATGATTAATGATCTCGGTTACCACAATAAAATGGATGTCAATAACCTGTTGGATTATCCGAGTGAAAATAATACATGTTCAGAGGTCCAGAGCTTAGAAGAAATTGTGGATACCATCGGAAAGCAATGTTGATGATGAAGTTGAAGATGATACTATAACTTTGGAACCAGTTACGCGTAAGGAAACACTTATCACATCTGAACTCTTCACAATTTTATGGTGCAGTTCGAAAAGACAACACCGGAGCTCTTGGAAGCAATATGAAAAGTTAGAAATGAGCTTCAACTAGATTTAAATTTTAAGAAAAACAGAACACAGTAGAATCATATTTCACTAAATTGTCTTAGATATATTTGTACTTTAAAGAATTATTAATTTATGATATTAATGGGACCATATATTTATATAAGGGTCTTCTGGAAATATATTATCTTATTATTTTATCGAAATTGGTGATTTTTTCATTAGCCCAAGTCGGGACCGAAAGAAAATATTATTTTAGAGAGATTATTAATTTACCGAATATTAATTTATAGAGGTTTTACTGTATCTTGAACGTAGAGATGAAGTAATCAAATCAACTCATTATTTTTTATATATTCTTCAACGAAATGCTTGAAAATGCAAAATGCTTGCACGTATCGAAAACCAGCGGCATTAGTACACAGTTTAATAATTGTACTCCAAGAAGATGTCCAAAGTGTACCCCCAACGTGATCAAGTGTAAGCATTCGGCACAATCTTCATTTTATGCATCTTATTTATAATTTAATTTAAGTAAATAAATTAAAAACAATATATATCTCTTTTCTAGTTTTATTTCTCAAAGAGTTGCATTACGAAAAAAATGACAAAGCTACCCCTTAAATTTGAGGTACGCTTAAGATAATCTATTAAATATACTCATGAGCAGTTTTGTTCCTTTAAATTAGGTAAAAGTGAGACGTTTAATCATCGTCAAATATTTATCAAACTTTTATCGTTAATTTTTAGAAGAAAAAGAAAGATTTGATTGCAACTCACAATCGGAAGTGAAGATATGCAGTTTCAGCTACATTTTTTATTCATTATTTTTTAGTATTTTATGAGACTTTTCTAATGTTTTAGGTTAAAATATTTTTACCGACTAAATCTAATCGTTATAGGTTATTATATATTTAGCGAATATAAAGAAATATTAAGTACTTTTGAAAAACTTCAAAAAATTTAAACTACATAAATACATTGAAAAACTATTTTAAACCTACCAAAATTAAAAGACCATGTGATTATCTTGTTACATTATTGTTTCTTCTCCGAGTTGTTGAAGGTATAAATGTTACAAGTAATACACCAATAATTTTAAATCAACCAATATAATGTTATATTAGTCGTTATCAATATTTATCTTTTAAAATTATAGAAAATATTAGTCAAGACAGCTTTATTGCAAACCACAAAAGGGAAAAAAGAAAAAACAAATTGGACCAAAATTAATCAAACAGGAAAATAAAATAATTAGAAGTTGTGAGTATTTTTTTTTTATTTTATTTTAAAGGGAAGAAATGCAGAATTTCAAGGATAGAGAAGTCATCGAAGCATTGCGTCTTGTTTTATGCAGACAAGTAGGAATCTGAATTTCTGTTGGTTCCAACGGTCAGTCATCCTTTGGAACCAAAGAAATTCTTTCTAAATTTTCAAAAAAAAATTCATTTTTTCGAATAATTAATCATAATGACGATGATGATGATGATTGTGGTGGTGGTTTTTATTTATTAATCTTGAAATTTGCATCTTTCGATTTCATCAAAAGGTATGATCTTGAAATTTCATTCTTGAAATTAATGTCAATTTTAATTTTCTGGGGTTTTATGTTTTCGTTTGTTCTTTCATGGGTCAATTTTAATTTTTACATTTGTGGGGCATTATTGATTTTGTTTTTTGGGTTTTCAGGGTGTGTTGTCAAATTGTTGATATTGATTAGAAGATTCATATTACCAACCCCAATTAGTTGCAATTGTTGTTGTTTGGGTGATTGACTAGTGCGATTAACAAGTGCTCATTGGTTTGGTGTACTGGAAATGCTAATGTGATTTGGGGGACTAAAATTTATTGTGTGGGGCAATGGCTGCCGGAGGGATTTCATCTGGTAAACAGAGAAATCCGCGGGGATTTATGACAGTCTTGTCTTCTGCGGTATGTGAATGGTTCTTGATGTTTTTGTTGTTTCTAGATGCTGCATTGGCGTATTTCATTGCTAAATTTGCGAGTTACTATGAGTTGCAAACACCGTGTATGTTGTGTTCGAGGTTTAATCATATACTTGGTGATAAGAAAAGTGGATGTTATGGGAGTCATCTTTGTAGGAACCATAAAGAGGATGTATCATTTCAAGTGTTTTGTCATATTCATGGTAATCTTGCTGATGTTCGTGCTATGTGTGAAGAATGCCTTGTATCGTTTGCTACTGAGAATATACTTATTAAAGAGTCGGATAACTTGATGATTGATAAATTGGGGAATAAGAGTTTTATACCTAGTTCTCCTGGCCCATGGAACTGTTCTTGTTGTCAGAAGACGTGGAGGGCTCGATCAAGTGCTCAAAGATTGCTCCAGCTAACTTCAGTTGGTTTTGGAGCTTCTAAGGCTAATGTCAAGCCTCCTCTACCACGGGCACCAGGTCGTAGCCGTTTCAGTCGACGTGATAGCTTTAAGAAGATCAGGGATAAAATTTCTGGGCCAGAGTCACCTAGGACAAGGGCTTCTGCCCTTGACCCTTTATCACATGTAGGATATACAGAGTTGAAGATTACTTCAGATTCTGAGTCAGAAATCCAGATGTCTGATGATGAGGATGGATGTTCTGTAACTCGTGGTAAAAATGATTCTAGATCGGAAGATAATGTTCGACATGGCAAAGGTATAATGCAGAAATTAGAAACCGATCTGCCTAGCCAATCTTCTGAATCCAAGCCTTATTATCTGGATCGACCAAGGCAGCTAGCTGCCAGCTCGGGCAAAACTGTGAGTTTTCAGGCATCTGATGATTTTGTAGGGCATGGCTTAGCAGAACTTGACTGGGAAAGTCTTTCTCCTAAGACCGGTGCTTCTGTATTGCCAGAGTTCATTTCATCATATAATGTTGCCCAGGCATCCAACCCTTTAGAAGATCATCACACGTCACGAGAGAGTTTAACGTCCAATGTTTTTCTCCCTCGTATCTCAGACCTCTCTGCACTTTCGGAGCTCATATCAGTGACCAAGACACCTTCTTTATCCAGTATTAACATCCATGAGACAGGTAAGCTGATCTTTCTCTTTGATTGATGCGTCTTATACACTTGTTTGTTCTGTATATGCAAATTATATTTACCTGTAGAGTTATTCCAAGAAAAGCAGTTGAATTCCTATTTTTCATTTGCTTTGTCTTTATAAAATGATTTTGTAGATTTGACGGAAGGAAATGATGAAGGAAGCAACTTAACTGAGAAGAATAATGCAAAAGCTCCAGTTCATTTAGATGAAAGTGCTCCACCTATATCAAACCAAAAAAATCAAGCTGATATATCTGTTGTGAGTAATGGAGGGAGAAAAATATCAGATAGGCTTGGAGAACCAAGTGCAATTACTGATTCTGCAAATGCTGGCGAAGGTATGAAGTCGCTTCCCCAACTTTCTACTTCTGTGACGGATGAATCGCAAACTGCGAGTCGTAGGAATCACGATAGGCTTGGAGAACCAAGAGCAATTAGTGATTCTGCAAATGCTGGAGAAGGTATGAAGTCGCTTCCACAACTTTCTACTTCTGTGACGGATGAATCGCAAACTGCAAGTCTTAGGAATCATGATAGGCTTGGAGAAGCAAAAGCAATTAGTGATTCTGCAAATGCTGGAGAAGGTATGAAGTCACTTCCACAACTTTCTACTTCTGTGACGGATGAATCACAAACTGCAAGTCTTAGGAATCATGATAGGCTTGGAGAAGCAAAAGCAATTAGTGATTCTGCAAATGCTGGAGAAGGTATGAAGTCACTTCCACAACTTTCTACTTCTGTGATGGATAATCATGATAGGCTTGGAGAAGCAAAAGCAATTAGTGATTCTGCAAATGCTGGAGAAGGTATGAAGTCACTTCCACAACTTTCTACTTCTGTGATGGATGAATCGCAAACTGCAAGTCTTAGGAATCATGATAGACTTGGAGAAGTAAAAGCAATTAGTGATTCTGCAAATGCTGGAGAAGGTATGAAGTCGCTTCCACAACTTTCTACTTCTGTGGCGGATGAATCGCAAACTGCAAGTCTTAGGAATCATGATATGCTTGGAGAAGCAAGTGCAATTAGTGTTTCTGTAAATGCTGGAGAAGGTATGAAGTCACTTCCCCAACTTTCTACTTCTGTGATGGATGAATCGCAAATTGCAAGTCTTAGGAATCATGATCATAGTGATGACCGACAAAGAAGTGATGCTTCTAGCTCTGACGGGGTACATGTGGTTCAAACATCTACCATCACGGGGAGAGATGATTCTGGTAATGAATCAGCAGATGGATTCAGCGTCAGTGATATTGAGGACGAGAGTATTGTTGATAGGTTGAAACGACAGATTGAACATGATCAGAGATACATAAATTCTCTATACAAGGAACTGGAGGAAGAAAGGAGTGCATCAGCCATTGCCACTAATCAGGCAATGGCCATGATCACTAGGTTGCAAGAGGAGAAGGCATCACTTCATATGGAGGCCTTGCAGTATTTAAGAATGATGGAAGAGCAAGCCGAGTATGATATGGAGGCACTAGAAAGGGCTAATGATCAACTTGCTGATAGGGAGAAAGAGTTGCAAGATCTGGAAGAAGAGTTATTAGAATATAAAAATAATATTCCAGATGAGTTAACAGCAGAAGATCCACAAAAGGAAAACAAAAACCTGAAAGAAGAAAATGTAATAAATGGGAATCATAGTTTAGAACATGTCGAAAACAAGGTCAGTGGCAGTTCAGATTCGAAAACTATTAGAGTATCCAAAATCTGTGATAAACCTAGACAGTTTAATGATTCAATATGTAACTTCGAGGACGAAAAGCAATGTATTTCAAAACATCTGGAGAACTTGGAGAAAAAGCTTTTTCAAATTTCTGGCAGAAAGGCCTCAGATAATGTTCCTTGTAACGGATATTCAGAAAGGGTAAAGAAAGATGCTGATAATCAAGTTAAGAAACAAAGTGATGATGGGGGAAGTATTAATTCCCAACAGGAGGAGGAGATTTCTTCATCCACGCGCAATGATTTTTCTAAATCAAATGGCAGTCCCATTGACAAGCCTGCTGCTTTAGATGTGGAAAATGCTATTGTTAGTGAAAAGAAAAACCATTTAGACAATAATCATAGTAAGCTTTCCTCTCTTGGAGGTGAAGTTGATGGGGCTTCTATAGGAAATGAAATATCAGAGCTTAGTGGGAGGTTACAAGCACTTGAGGATGACTGTAAATTCCTCATGCATGCCTTTAACTCGCTCCAGAATGGACATGAAGGAATACAGCTTATTCAGGAAATAGCTCATCAGCTGCAAGAAATACGGAAAGTCGATTTTGACAAGAGATGACTATCTCTAAACTTTGAAATTTCAAGTTTTACAATGACAAGGTAAGCTTTTATTTAAATGACCAACATTCTAGTAATCCTGATCTTGATGTGCAAAGATTTTTTTCTACATTTATTATCGAATATTATGCTGAGGGATAAGGATTTAGTGATAATATTTTCAATAATGACTTCTTATAAGATTGTAACACTCATTAAACTTGAAATCAAATACTATATTTGTTACTCAAAAAACAAAACAAAAAATGAGGTTCCTAGTAATGCAGAGTTGGAAGCCTGTAGTTGGATTGACGCCATCTTACTATGTTTACTTTCAATATAGTTCAATAGCTGGATAAACATGAAGAGCTAAGATAGATGCTTCGACTGTAAATGGCCCTCGGACTTTACATCCTATTTCACTTGAAGATGTTGTTGTTTTATGTTTATGTCCTCATGATCTATGGATATGTACCTATTATTCTATTTTGATTAATTTTTTACCTCCTTTGTGGGAAGATTTTCCGGCTGAAACTTTCAAAGAGATGCATGCCAGAATGGAAGCTGTAGCGAGAAGCCCAGCTGCATCATTATTTACAGCTTATAGTTGGAAGGGAGAAGCTCATGACACCAAAGAAATAGTTTTGATGATCGAGAATTGGTCTAAAGTACTGCTTTTCAGGTCTTCTTGTCCTCTTAAATTGGTTTTGTTGAAAAAATACCGCTCATCCTTTTGTTTTTGTTTCGTTTTCCTGGTTTTGGGTCCTTTTTTCACAATTTTGTTAGTCGTTAATGTGATCGTGTGGTGCGAGATTTTGGTGTAATGTGTGTATATCTTTTTCAAGGTTGGGCTTTGTTGCCAGATTTCACAACTGTAAATGCAGATAGGTTCTTCAAAGGACTTCCAAATTTGCTTCTACTGCTGATTGCCTTTCTGTTGTGTTTCTTTCCTTTGTTTTTGCCTCTTTTAGCATATGTTGTTCGTTCAGACTCTTCAAAAATGTCAACGACTGCGTGTATGATTCTCCAAAAGGAGTGTTTTTTTGGAGAATCCGACACAAGTGAGACATTGAAAGTGAAGAGTCCGCACGACTTAGCTGTTAGCCAAGGTTTAATCTTATGATTCTCCATAATACAACTAGGGTGGGAGGAATATAATCTGACCCTTAAGGAAAATATTGGCGTTATTGTATCAATTTTAGCTAAAGAAAACTGCTGTATACTAGGCCAATGTGATAATACATTCTGGCTACTAGCTGGTGAAAATCTTAACTATTCATTAGTCTAATCTAAAAGTTTTGGTGCATAGAGTTATTGGTATCTAACTATTTATTCTGGTGGGAGGTAAAATATATTTAGTAAAATAGTCGCGATGTGTACACGTTGATCAAGACATCGTGTTATTAGAAAAAAGAAACTTAACTATACATTTCTCCAAAAAGGTAATGAATGTCATTTCTGTTATAGGTAAATTACTTTTACAGAGAAAGTAAAATATAATATGACAAATTGATTCTAAAGAAAACCAGGTTGTTCTAGTGAAATACCGTTGTAACAAAGAGAAATTTGATTGTTATATTAACTTCATCCTGATAACGAGATCCCAGTACTCAATTCATATTTCTGCTTCAACGTCACTTGTGTATATTGAAGATCAACTAGTAATTGCTTCCATCAAGGTTTTTGGCAATTGGCTAAATGGCCAAAAAGTCACAAACATAAAGTAATTCCCCATGTCATCATGATACTAATCCATTGCATTTTCTTTTTGACTGCCTCATGCTACCTTAATCTAAGTATATAGAAAGAAGGGAAAAAGGACAAATATACCTCCAAACTATTGTAAATGGTATGTAGATATCCTCCGTCATACTTTTGGGATATTGGTATCCCTGTCGTCCAAAAACTAGAGCATATATGCCCTTCACTCTAACGGAAGACTAAATAGGGACACGTGGCGTAATCTTATCCGTCGATCCGATATTTAATAAACGTCGGTCATTGAATAAGATTATGACACGTGTATGTCCATTAGTATAAAGGGTATATATGCTCTAGGTTTTGGACGCCAGGTGCACCAATGTCGCAAAAGTATGACAGAGGGTATTTGTATATCATTTACGATAGTTCGGAGGTATATTTGTCTTTTTTCCCTACAAAGAATTATAGATTAAAAAAAATGGTGTTTTAAGTCATCAAAACTTTGAATTCTGTTTAAACTAATCCCAAGGTTTAATGACCTGCGTAATTGCCTACCTAATCTTGATTTATTAACTGTATTTTCCTATTGAAATTTCTTACCTAGGGTGGAGTTTATAGATAACTATCCAATATTGACTTTCTAGATTTCTACTAATTAATAAGTTACAAATAAGGTGTCTGTCTCATCGCCGTGTCCGCTGATTTCAAAGACTATTTAATTTCATAAAAGGTGGTCAGTATTCAACTTCATTAAAAAATCATACAATATAGTATATGTATATATATAGCAAATTATAAGACGTATATAGATTAAATATTATTTTTGATATGTATATATTAAATCTTGAGCATTTTTGACAAGATATATCAGGTCACCCCTTCATGATTGTTGTATTATTTAAGTAGGATAATTTTATTTAATTCCTCTAGAACTATATGAAATGTCGGCCTCGAAATTTTAGGTGCAACTACCATTTATTGAAAATTCATTATTTCTAGAAATGGACTTGGGGATTTTAGTATCTCATTTTGTTTGAAGGTTTAAGATATAGGATTTACAATTTAGAATGATAAAAAATATACTTAATTTTTTTTTTGGAGTTTCATGTCTAAGCAGATTATGTTATTAAAATTGTAATAACTATAGCTAAATTATCATGCATTAATTTGAGAAACACATTTCGATTGGATCAAATGTGAGTGTATACACACACTTAGGTGCATCTGACCTTGAATTTTCACATTTTTTTGCTGATACATTTTTTTTAAAAAAAATCAATTAATTTTTAAACTCTAATCTCTCCTCTTCTTCATCATCATTAATTTCTCTACCATTTTTCTTTTATTTTTTCACTTCTATTGAATATTTTCTTTAATTTCCTCCTTCTCCTCCTTCCTCTTCTTCTATATTTATCAACATCCTTTTTCATTTTCTTCTTTTATTAGTTAATTTGATTCGTTCTTTATTTTAATTTTAACTTTTTTCCACGATAGAATTATTTTCCTCGTGGCAATTCATGTGGCAGTTTTTTCTTTTAAAAAAAAGAGGAGTATAATACACGTCATCATATATATTTTAGGTGTGTTGTTTAAACTTATGAATGATGATTTATGTGTGTTTCTCACCGTTTTAATAATTTAATATAAAACTGTAAAAATTTTAATTTGAATGTGTATTTGACATTTCACTCTTTTAAAAAGTGTTTTCCCTCTTTCTAGAGTGTTTAACATTTTCAGTTTAAAAAGATCAAAACTTTAAATAAACAAACAAAAAAAGATGCGAAAAAAATATTTCTTTATAAAAGATTTACGTATTGCACATCAATCCCCATAACAAGGAAGAGCCATGGAAGTTGGGTATCCCTCTTTTTAATTAGTTGCATCACATTTTGTATTTTAGTGTTATATATATATATATTATATTTATCTCACAATATATATAGAAATAACTTTTTCCTGGCGGGAGAAGTTTTTACTCACACTCACACTTATATATTTTAAAGAAAAGAGAAAAGGTATTCTAAGATGCTTTTCTATTATGAAGTTCCACTCCTTTTATAGATGCAAGGAGGATCCCTCTTTAATTAGTTGCATCACATTCTATATATATATATATATATCTTCATAATAGATTGTTGTTTAAAATAATTTAAAATCCGTATTATTATTTACTATTTATATAAGAAGTGATATAATTGAATATCCATATTTGGCATTCTCTAGCATAATAAACTTAGGGGTCATTTGATTTGAATACAAGTTATATTGGGATTAATTATGCTGGAAAAAATTATACTGGGACAAGTTATGCTGTCATTAGTTTTTATTACTTGTTTGGTTTGTCATATTGAAACTTATATTCATTGCATAATTTCTAAGAATAAGTTGTTTATTTATAAAAATACCCTTCACCTTTTTAATTTTTTTTGTTTTTTACATTTTCTTTGCAAGTTTTAGTTATTCATTCTTAAAAATAAAAAAATTCATCTTATTTAGCTTAAATATTTTTAGGTATGCATTTCCATAATTATGCCGTGTGTTTTTAAAATTAAACATTCATCTTATTTAGCTTAAAAATAAATTTTCATCTTATTTAGGTTATATAAGAAAATGATATTATTGAATATCCAGATTTGGCCTTCTCTAACGGATATTGGGCCCGTTAGCACATGCAATACCCACTAATCCACTATAACATATGAAGCAGTTGATGACATCTATTATCACCCCCAAAAATGTTCAACTTGAAATATAAATTATAGGTATTAGTAAACACGTTGTCATTCTATATATATACTATTTTAACATAATATTTACGTAACACATGTTAATGGTTTTATTTTTAACATGATATTTACGTAACATATGTTAATGGTTTTATCTCAATTATTTACGTAGAATAAATAAAATTTCAAAAGTCAATTAATTTTTTTGATATTTTAAGTTATTATTATTATCATTATTATAATTTATAGTATTTTAAATAATTTTTAAATAGATAATAAATTTTAAAAAATAAAACAAATACACAAAAATGGAGAATTTCCAAAAAAAAAAAAATTGCACAGAATAAACATCCAAAAAAAGAAGAAGAAAAGATGAAGCCCCACGCAAAGTCAACTAATTCAGCATACAATAATGATTGGTATGGTGTATAAAAATAATGTTTGTATTAGTAATGCTTGTATTAGTTATGTTTGCATTATTTATATATAGATTATTTCTTATGCACTGTTTGATTTGGTGTATTAAAAATAACATGTAATGTATAAAAATATTTATTTACAAAAGTATCTTTCATAATTATGATGAAAAAGATGTAAAAGGAGTTTTGAGGGATATCTATGTCTTTAAAATGCTAATGAATGCATTAAATTCCTTTGCATTATTAATACCTAGAAATTCATGATATTAGTAATACACTCCCCAATACACAATAGAGTGTATAACTAATAAAAGCATTAGCTTATACATAACATGAAAAAAGTACACCAAACAAGGTATCATTTGACTTGCTACTATATTAAGAAAGAAAGAAAACTTTTAAAATTTGTGGTTTAAAACAATCCTTAAAAATTTGTGTAGTGATAAATTATTTCATTAAAGGTAAAATGAGAATTTTAAAATTAAACTATTTCTAGTTATAGTAAAGTGACATTCTTTTTGAGATAGACTAAAAAGAAAATGATGTCAGATGAAGGGTGTATTTGGTAGGAAGGAAAACGTTTTCCATGGAAAATATTTTCTTAGAAAATGTTTTATTGGAAAACAACAAGTGGATTTAACTTATTTTCTCATTTTTGGTTGGTGAGTAGAAAATACTTTTTAATGTTTGGTTAGTGAATGAAAAATATTTTTCAGAAAATGTCTTTTATTTTGGCTTGAGACTAGAAAATACTCTTTAGGAAAATAATTTTTGATCTGAAAATTGACCTCGATAATTGATCTGGGACCCGACACCCAAACTAGGACAAGACCCTGATGACCGTTCCAAAATTCAACCCTGAGATTTGACCCAGAACCTGACCCAGGATTATTTTTTTCCAAAAACAATATTTTAGAAAAAAACAAATTGACGGGCGGAGGTGGGAGTGGCATAAAAATGATTTTTTTTAAATAAAATGTGAATTTATTTTTGATGGGGGTGGCGCGGGGGGGGGGGTATGGGGTGGCCTGGGTAAGGTGGTGAGGTTGGCGTAAAAAATGATTTTTTTTTAAAATTTGAAATATTTTCTAAAAATATTGAAAAAAATATTTTGACGGGAATGGCCTAAGTGGGGGTGGCTTGTTGGAGGAGGGGTGGCGGAGGGAGTGACGTAAAAATTAATTAAATTTGAAATATTTTTCAATAGCAATTTTTTTGGTGGGGTAGGGAGTAGGGGTGGTAGGGGTTGTGTGAGGTAAAACAAATCTTAAAATTTGAAACATTTTTCAAAAATAATTTTTAAATTTTTGTTTGTTTTGTTTGAGAGAGGGGGAGGGGGCTGGTTTGGTGGTACGAATAAAAATATATTTGAAATTTAAAAAATAAGAAATTTTAAAATGGAAGGTTAGGTACAGGGTATGGATAGGGTAAGAAAAAAAAATAAACGATGAAGTACAGTTTTGGAAAATGTTTTCCTTAATTTTGGAAGGGAAGTCATTTTCCTTAATTTTGAGGAAAATGAGTTAATTTGGAAAACATTTAAGCCAACCAAATATGGGAAAATTGACCATACCAAACACACCCGAAATGGAACAAAGGAGTGGTAATTTTGGGTGTGTTTGGTATGGAGGAAAATATTTTCCAAATCAACTCATTTTCCTCAAATTTAAGGAAAATGACTTCCTTACCAAAATTAAGGAAAACATTTTCCAAAACTCTACTTCATTCTTTAATTTTTTTTCTTACACTAACCATACCCCGTACCCGACCCTTCCCCTTCAAAAACAATTTAAAATTTTTAAATTTTCTTATTTTTTAAATTTCAAATATATTTTTATCCCTACCACGCCCTCCCCCCCTCCCCCTCCCCAAAAAAAAATTACTTTTGAAAAATATTTCAATTTTTTTTAACTTTTAAGCCACTCCCCTCCCCCCAACAAGGCCACCCCCACCCAGGTCACTCCCCTCCCTCACCATCCCCGTAAATTTTTTTTGGAAAATATTTCAATTTTTTTTTTTTTCATTTTTTACGTCATCCCAACCCCTACCTCCCCCCCACCCCACCCAGGCCATCCCCGTCAATTTTATTTATTTTTTAAAAAAAAATTTGGAAAATATTTCAAAAAAAATTTTAACGCCACCCCCTACCCTTATCCCCCCCTCCCCCACCACCCCCACCCATGCCATTTCCGTCAAAAAAAAATTAAGAAATAATTATTTTTGAAAAATATTTCAAATTTAAAAAAAATCATTTTTTACGCCGCGCCACTGCACTACCTCCAATCCAGGCCATTTCCGTCAATTTTCTTTTTGAAAAAAAATATTTTTAAAAAATATTTCAAATTTTTAAAATTTTCACTTTTTATGCCACCTCCACCTCCCCGCCCGGTCCCGTCAATTTTTTAAAAAACAAAATTGAAAAAATAATCATTTTGGGTCAGGTCTTGGGTCAAATCTTAGGCTCGCATTTTGGAACGGTCATCAGCATCTTGTCCTACTTTAGGTGTCGGGGTCGGATCCTAGATTAATTATCGAGGTTGATTTTTGGATCAAAAATTATTTTTCTAAAGAGTATTTTTTAGTCTCAAACCAAAAATAAAAGATATTTTCTGAAAAATATTTTTCATTCACCAACTAAACATTAAAAAGAAATTTCAGAATATATTATTATACATATACGTAATCAAGATATTGAAATACAAAATGAGAAATGTTTTCTCTACTCTTCTCTTCTTCAATGATCTATGGTTCTATCCTATTGTCTATACTCATTTCCAGAATATTTTATGAAAAGAAAAGTATTTTTTTCGTAACAGTCATAATCAAATCTTTAATTGTGAGTTAATTTTTGTCCTTCTTTAAATAAAAGAAAATAAAGAGTGTAACGATCAATATGAACCAAGGTCTCAACAGTGGAGGGTGGCTGGGTGGGGTGGGGTAGGGGAGGGGGTGAGTTCAACTCTTAACAATGGAACAAACAATAGAACAAATCGATTTATATCAATTAATAATAATAGTAACTAATTATTTTTTAATGTAACACTTTTACGATGAACAATATTCTCTTTCAATCCAACGTCATTTTTTTTTACAAAATTTAAATAATGAACCTTCTCTATAAAAAAATATAAACTAATAGCTCAACTTTTACATTTAAAAGTTCAAATCATGATATCCAATTACATAATTCAATATTTAAAATTATAACTTCATATTTCATGTCTCAAAATTAATTTGTTGTTCCATGAGATATTTTAAGGACAATATTAAACTTACCCTCCGACATTAAATACAATATTGACAGAAGAATAATACTCCGTTGAGAAGATTCACTTGAAAATAGTCAAAAGAATAATAGATGAATAGATGAAAGTAACGTTTAATTTATATATTTAAATATATTATTTTATTTTATTTTTAAAAAAAATAATATATATATATATATATATATATATATATATATATATATATATATATATATATATATATAACGTTTAATTTATATATTTAAATATATTATTTTATTTTATTTTTAAAAAAAATAATATATATATATATATAAAATACAACAACAATTCGCTTAATCTGATTAAAAATAATAATTTAAAATATATTTTAATAATATAAAGAAGTAATATCGAAACCGAATCAAAAGTCTATAAAAAGATCTAGTTGCCTAGTGTTCATCTATCTTTACACTTATCTTCTATTCATAATCCATAAACATACGAACACACAACAAATTTCAAACCAAATCAAACTCCAAAAAATCAAAAGATCATGATAATAGACTTGGAGTTTTCTACTTCTCTACTCATTTGCCTTCTTCCATTCCTTTTAATCTTCTTCATTAATCTTTTCAATTCCAAATCAACCAAAATCCCAAAATCTTATCCAATCATTGGTTCATATTTCTCAATTTTAGCAAACAAACATCGTCGGATTCAATGGACTTCTGATGTAATTCAAACAACTACCAATCTTACTTTCACTCTTGTTCGTCCTTTCGGTTTTCTCCAAATCTTTACTGCAAATCCATCCAATGTTCAATACATACTCAAAACTCATTTTCATATTTATCAAAAAGGTCATGTGTTTAAATCAACTATGGCTGATTTTCTTGGTGATGGTATTTTTAATGTGGACGGTGAAATTTGGAAGTACCAACGACAAGTTGCTAGTCATGAATTCAATACGAAATCTCTACGAAAATTCGTTGAAACTGTCGTCGATGCTGAACTTAATGAACGTCTGATTCCATTTCTTGCTGTTGCTGCTGCTGAGAAAAAAGTTGTTGATTTCCAAGATATATTACAGAGGTTTGCTTTCGATAACATTTGTAAAATTGCGTTTGGATATGATCCTGCTTATCTATTGCCATCTCTACCACAAGCGAAATTCGCAGTTGCTTTCGAAGAAGCTGTTAAATTAAGCAGTGAAAGATTCAATGCTATTTTCCCCTTTTTATGGAAAATCAAAAGACATTTCAATTTCGGAACTGAGAAGAAATTCAGAATCGCTGTAGATGAAGTTCGTCAATTCGCAAAACAGCTCGTTAAAGAAAAACAGAGAGAATTAAATGAAGAATCATCTCTCGATTCAGTAGATCTATTATCCAGATTCTTAAGCGTTGGCCATACAGACGAAGATTTCGTTACAGATATAGTTATTAGTTTCATATTAGCTGGTCGTGACACAACATCAGCTGCATTAACTTGGTTCTTCTGGTTAATCTCTGAACACCCAGTGGTAGAAAGCTCTATTCTCAACGAAATCAAATCAAAATCCGAAAGCCCTGTATACAACGAAGTGAAGGAGATGATTTACACACACGCTTCACTTTGCGAAAGCATGAGGTTTTACCCACCAGTACCAATTGACACAAAAACAGCTACAGAGGACAATGTTTTACCAGATAGAACTTTTGTTAAAAAGGGGACAAGAGTAAGTTATCATCCCTACGCAATGGGGAGAACAGACAAATTATGGGGAAAAGATTGGGATGAATTTAAACCAGAAAGGTGGTTGGATAAAGATGAAGTTACTGGAAATTGGAATTTTGTTACTAAAGACATGTATACATATCCTGTTTTTCAGGCCGGGCCAAGGATTTGTTTGGGGAAAGAAATGGCGTTTTTTGCAAATGAAGAGGGTGGTGGCTGGTGTTTTACGGCGGTTCAAGGTGGTTCCGGTGACGGAAAAAGGAGTGGAACCGGTGTTTATTTCATACCTCACGGCGAAAATGAAAGGTGGTTTCCATGTGACAATTGAGGAAAGGGACCATTAGTAATGTTCTTGTTTCTTTTACTTGTCCTACTTAAATTGTTTTGAATTTCGTGACATTTTATTATTATTGTAGTCCCCCAATACATCTGTGCTTCCTCATTTTGATAGCTGCCACTCCAAAATGACCATTAGTAATGTTCTTGTTTCTTTTACTTGTCCTACTTAAATTGTTTTGAATTTCGTGACATATTATTATTATTATAGTCCCCCAATACATCTGTGCTTCCTCATTTTGATAGCTGCCACTCCAAAATGACCATTAGTAATGTTCTTGTTTCTTTTACTTGTCCTACTTAAATTGTTTTGAATTTCGTGACATATTATTATTATTATAGTCCCCCAATACATCTGTGCTTCCTCATTTTGATAGCTGCCACTCCAAAATGACCATTAGTAATGTTCCTGTTTCTTTTACTTGTCCTACTTAAATTGTTTTGAATTTCGTGACATTTTATTATTATTATAGTCCCCCAATACATCTGTGCTTCCTCATTTTGATAGCTGCCACTCCAAAATGTACAAATTGCATAGATATAAAAGATAAAAAATGTCTTTAAATATGAAAGTGAAAAAAAAAAATATCAAGGAATTTGGTCAAAAATATATTTATTGTTATTAGTTTGTTTCAAAATATCCACTGTTAATAGTTTGATCATGTAATATTTTTTCTTGTTAAACATATTATTTTCTAATAAAAGTATTACCATTAAAGAATTGATTTTTATTTTTTATTTACTTTAACAAATAAATAAGTAGAAAATAATTGATTTTTTAATGATAAAACAACTCATTTTAATATTTTTTTGAATTAAAATAGGATAAATATTTTCTAAAATTTAAATTGCATATGAAAATATTTGTATCGGTGTAAATTATCCCTAAAATTAAGGCAGCAAAAGCTATAATTTAGGTTCGCTAGTTTGCTTCTTATATGACCCGTTTGAAAGAAATTGAACTTTGGCCAAGGTTCTTTTTGATTCAATATGTTCTAATTTATTTTATTAGCAAAACATATCTTTGCAAATACTTTAGCAAAACTAATCCAACAATATAAAATAAATATAGATGTCAAAAGTTTTATATTTCAGATTATTTTTATTTATCAAAATTGATATATAAATTTATGTAGGAAAAAATTAATTTTAGTTATTTTTTTTTGACAAATTTTATTTTAGTAATTTTCTTGACAGTCAAACAATTTCAGCCTTCTTTCGTGCTTCTCGGACAACGAAACTTTTTTGGTTATACTTATGGCTTCTCTTTGTCAACTTCCTCAACTAAGTCCTAATAATATATGGGAAAAATTACTGAAATACACTATCTTATATATATATATATATATATATTTATTTATTTTTAATTTTTTTTTTAATATTTCCTTTTATTTTTAAAAATCTCTAAAATTCCTTATTTTTAAATATATTTGAGCTACATATTAATATTAATGTATCCGAGCCAGTAATTAATGTATCCGAGCTACATATTATGTATCCGATTTATTTTATAATATATCCGAGCTAGTTTTTAATGTATTTGAGCTACATATTATATATCCAAGCTACGTATTCTGTATCCGGTTTATGTTATAATGTATCCGAGCTACATATAATGTATTCGGTTTGTGTTACTTTTTAAGGGATTACTGTAATTAAAAAGTAAAGAGGGATAGATTGTAATTTCATATTAAAACTATGTAATTCCTAAAATTTATCCATAATTTATTTGTGCTATGTAGTTATTTTAAAACTATTTTTTAAAATTGAAATAATTTAATATAATATTATAGATATAATATTTTTTTGTTATTTAATATAAAAATGGACTATATGCTCTATTTAATTTTTTTCAAAAGGTGTTAAAAAAGAAAAATAGTAATATATTTATTTAGAAAAAAAAATATTTATATCATTAATTAATAACAGGGATTTTTTTGGATCAAAATTATTGTCAGCATATTGTTAGATAAAATTATTAACTGAAAATATTTTCGTCATAGACAGATAGCTACCATTCGCTCTAATTATTACAAACTAGTATACGTGCCCGCGCGTTGCGCGGATGATTTAAAATGTAATAATTTTATAATTAAAAATAACTAATAAAATGTATAATGCACTTAAATAATATATTTAATTTATTGTAATAACAATATAATAATACAAATTATTAACTTGTGTATTTGAGCAATATTAGATTAATATCATTAGTACACAATTTAATTTATTATATTAAAATATATATATATATATATATATATATAAATTTATTCTTTTATGTAGTTTGAATAAAAAAATTATGTTAATAATTTATCAATTCTAACCTTCCATATGAAATATTTGATATCATAAGACTAAATAACATGTTGAAACATTTTATATATGTTTATTCAAATTTAAAAGATTCAAAATATTATTTATTGTATTAATTTGTGTAAAATATAATATAAATTTAAAAATAATCTTAATTAGTACAATCACTATATTAGATTTAATCAATGTATGTAGATGATATATTAAATTTTAATTTGAATTATATCAGAAAACGTATGCATATAAATGAGAGGATGTTTATTTGAATTTTATCCGATAAAGCTTATTATATGTAATTATAGTTATCTTTGAATTCAAATTTAAAAAGGTAAAAATTGAAAATTTAAAGCTTATCGTATATTTAAAAATCGCTATTTTCAACTTAATTTAATGTTGTTATATAATATTGGGAATAGTCTTAAATTTGCTAAATGACTTATAATAGGATATTGTTCAAGATAGAATTTAACGCTAGCTAGATCATAAATATTATGATAGTTCCATAAAATTAGATAATGCTTGATAGTTCTATAAAATAATTAGGCTCAAAAATAAAATTTTAGATGCAGAACTTCCGTGTATTTTTTATTTTTATATTTTCAAAGTTAAGATTTTTTATTTTAAACTTGAAAAACAAAAAAATTAGCATTTCTATTTTGAAATTTAATTTAAGTATTTTTTTTAAAAATCTTTTTTTAGGATTCGAAATTTTATAATAGTTATTGCTGTGTAAATTTACACGTATACATAAATTTTAAACTAATTCCACTAATTTTGAAATAATTAACTACCAATACACCTTTTTTTTTTTTTCAAAGACAATTTTATTATTTTTTAAAAATACTGCTTTTTTCTGGCGATGACATATATAGATTTTAATCCTAAAAGTTATAGAAATATCTTGTATAACGCAAATCATCTCGTTGTAGGCATCCCCGTTTTGATAGTCTAAACTTGTATTATCTAAAAAGTCGAAATAAAATCATAAGTATTATTGTTTTAAGCAATCATAAATAATATATACATAAAATTATATAGTTAAAATCCGGAAACAAATTTACATCAATAAATAGTAGAAACTCTTTATAAGAATAAATACTATTAAGGAAAAACCATGTTCCAATAATACGATTTTAATCTTTTTGTTTCATTGCAAATTTCTTTTGCAACATTTCCTGCGGCATTCCTAGACATTGGCTTGCATAAAAATTATATTGATAAAAATTATATTATATAGATTATTGATTTTACATATCTTTAATCTAAGAAAAACCAATTTCATAAGAAAACCTAAAGAAAAAGAAAGAAATAGAAAAGCTTATATTTAAGAAAAAGAAGAAGAAAAAGATCGACTATACCTATTTTTTATTTTTATTTTTGTTGGTCTCATCACAATCCGATAGTTTTCCTGTTTGCAAAGAGAAGAATGCTCTTTGTTGCCTTTTGTTTGTTTGTTAGAGAGACATCCTATTTATGCTCCTCAAAATGATGCAGTTGTGTTTTTGAAATTTAAAATTATATCTCATATCTCATTCTAACCGTATAAAAAAAACTGACATTTGTTTTTTAAAAAAAAAAAACATATTTCTTTTTAAATTTGATTTTAAATACTGAAATTTGAAGATTAATTGTGGGGATGACACATATGCCATTTTTCTATATATATATATAGATAGATGTGGATGAGATGGTCTATTATCAATAGGTTTCTGTATATAGAAAAAAATTGTTCTATTTTTTATTTTTTTTATTTATGTAAAATTTATTATGCAGAGGTTTTATTTTCTTCAAATAAATTGGCGGTTTATATTTTTTTGGTATTTGTAATTATGGTGCAGAATGATTTTTTTTTATTTTCAAATAAATGGCAAATGAATTTGAGTATATTTTAATATTGTTAAAAGTTATGTCGTAGAAGTTTTTTAAAGTTCCTATTTTTGGTCTTTGAATTATTTTATTTTATTTATTTTATGTATGAAATATAGTCTATTAAAAGAAAAGGAAACAAATCTTTAAAAAAACTGCTCATTTTTTAAAGGAATTTAATTTTTAAGTATTTTGTTGTTACTTGAACCTAAAATTTAGCATCATTATCTATATATCATGTATAATTTTAATTTTAGTTTCAATTTTAACTTTTATATTTTTAAAATTTATTTTTAAAAAAGGCAGTTAGCATTTTATTAGGAAAAAAAATTATTCATTTTATTTAAACAAAGAAAAAAGATTATGTTAAAACAGTTTTTAACGTAAACAATTAAAAATTGTTTTTAATTTCTGTTTTTTTTTTAAATGTTTTGTTATTTAAATTGTTATTTATTATTTAATATATCTACAAATTTTGTGGTGCTGACACGTGTCACTTTTTCTTCTCCTTTTATATATAGATAGATGTTTTAGTTAAAATCAAAATATTTTCAAAATATTTTTTTCGTATTAAATTTGTGTAAAAATATAATATAAAATTAATTTAAAGGTAAAAGTAATCTTAATTAATACAACCATTTACTCAAAGTTTGTATTGGATATTTTAAATTTTGAATTGTATCAGAAAACATATGGATATGAATGAGAGGTTGTTGATTTGAATTTATCCGCTTAAATATATTATGTGTAATAATAGTTTTCTTGTATTCTTTTTTTTTAAAAATAATATAAAATTGAAAATTAAAATTTGTACCATATATTTTAGAATCGCAATTTTCAACTTAATTTAATGTTATTATTATATGATATTGTGAAGATTGTGAATTCTTAAA